AGCCTCAATTGCACCTTCATGTCTTAGGCTCAAGATAGGGGTTCCACTTATACTCATTCGTAATCTAAGTCCAAAGCATAGAATGTGCAATGGAACTAGATTACGATTGTTAGGAATAACACGCAACTGTCTACAAGTTTCTATACTGGGAGGTAAGTGGGATGGTAAGAGTCGCCTCCTGCCAAGGATAAAGCTCACAACAAATGATAAAGATCTGCCTTTTATTCTTGAACGGAAGCAGTTCCCAGTCCGTGTATGCTTTGCCATGACTGTAAACAAGTCCCAAGGCCAGTCTCTAGATCAGGTTGGTGTGGATCTCCGCACAGATGCCTTTACACATGGTCAACTATATGTTGCTTTGTCGCGGGTCACCTCTCTAGATGGCCTTACACTACTACCCTCCTCTAATACTCTGCAGACTACTGACAATATTATGTACCGAGAGGTACTGCATGAATTATATGATTGTAAGTATTCTAATCTCCTCTATTCTTTTTTCCTGATCATGTTTCTCTTTATACTAATATGTGCAATGCTTGATCAGTATCATGAATTTATGGTAGCTGGTCATTGAAATACAAGTTGGCTTTGGCTTTCTTAGCTGATTAATGGGTTCTACTTTTTTACCTAATGATGATAATCAAAATTCTGAAGGTGAAAAGGATTGACAACTCTACCTTGAGCTGATATACAAGATTGAATTCTATGCTTGATGATGATAACATAAGTTCTGAAGGCATATTTTATATTTTTCCTCTTTGTTTTGAATTTTCTTTCATGTTTATTGTATTGTTTTTAACTTTATACTGTTTGATGATCTGTAAAAATATAAAAATGTAAAAATGCAAAAATTTAAAAATGCAAAATATAAAATGTAAAATGTAAAATACAAAATATATAACGTATAATGAAAATGTGATATATCAAACATATAATATATAATGTATAATCAAAATATAAAATGTAGAATGTAAAATGTAAATTCAGTGCTATTCTATATACCCCCTGTATATGTGATCACATTACAACCATTACTTAAAACTATAATTTTGTTTGCATGATCATATCTACAACTAATTTATTTTTTATTATATCGAAAATCCTATACCCATAATCCTATTTGTTCTAATTCTAGAATTTTCTGTAACCCCATGGGAAAAGGCTTGGCATCCTCTGGTGCTGTCTATAAAAGGAGACCATCCCCTCCTCTTTTCTGCATTCATCCTTACAGCTTCCTTCTTCCACAGACCAGCATGTCAAAAGACCTACCACCCAACAAATCAGGTAGTGAGTATCATCAGAATCATCTGGACTCTTCAAACTCAATTGCTATCCCAGTCGATGCTCCCAATACTACCTTTCTGGAACTAAGACCAAGAACCCCTTCAATTACTTCAGCGCTCGTGGTGAATGAGGCAACTGCGGCTGTCCCAGGACTGGAAACTGCTGCTAATACCAGTCAACAGAGTCTGAGTCCTGATAGTAAGTCTGATATATAACTTGAAACAGGTAACATGGCTAATATATCTTAACTTTCAGACATCACAGAATCATTGGCCACTAAGACCAAATGTACAACCCCCAAAGGAAATACACCAACGGCAAGAAAACCCGGAGCGGTAGAGCAACAATACAATAAAGACAATACAAACACCAAGGCCAACCAGCTGAAAGAGAACCAAGATACCAAGATGAGAAGTACAGGAACTGGGCATGCCAAAAAGCGAAAGGTACAGTGATAACTCCAATACTATGAGTAATGCTAACATGATGACCTATACACTCCAAAGAACAAGACGTCCAGCAGGCAACATATCGAAACCAAGAAGACGAAACAGCAACCAACGAGCGCGAACAATTTACAAGACCATATACGTAGTCACAACATTCAGGTTGCAGCTACAGGTGTCTTTGCCCACATTGCTATTGATCCTACTTTTTTGACTAAAGGTTCAATGAATGATTGGGTCAATGCTACAATTGTGGCACTTGCAGAGTCGAATCGATTGGCTCAGGCAGTTTCCTATCTCTCTGCCCCAAGTTTGGTCTCTGAGAGTTTGAAACAGACCCAAGCAACCCCCTCCCTCCAGGTTCGCTTTGGCTCTGAGGAGAACCGGGAAAATGCTCTTGGTCCCATTACAATTTTGGGATATGAGACCCGGGTGGAGAGATACCGAGGGGGCAAAGTATGTGTTTTTAAGATACGCTTGGGTACCTGGGCTGGAGAGGAGGGGAAGATGAGAGCTGCTTTTGAAGATCAGGCAAAGGCTGATATAAAAGCTTGGGGCTGGAGGCAGCTTTGCTCTACTAGAACAGATTTGGTGATTCAAACCAACATGCCTCCTGGGAGGGTACTGAAGGTACTTGAAGTAGATGGATGGAGATTGGGATGTGAGAGGGAGGAGGGGGGGAGATGTTGTTGTTGTGGAGAGTCTCATAGCTGTTTTGATAGTACTGTTAACTGTAGTAGATTTGAGCGTGGATAGGTCACGTGGCTTGAGTTTGAGTGTATATATTTAGATAGTAAAATGGATTGTGGCTTTGATCTGGATCTGTAACTCTAAATGTTTTGTTGAAAGTGGATGGGTTCTCCCATGTCCTACCAGTTGAAATAGGATGCATTGAGTTCAATGTTGATATTGTTCCTACAATCTGGACAGCATTACACCTGTTTCTCTGAAGGAAGTTACTGGATTATCTATAATCGATTCGAATGGTATAAAAGTATATACTTTATATGATTATTATCAGAACAACAAATTAAAATGACTACCTGAGTTTGTAAAATAAATATTATGTTATATTCAATACTAATCTACACTGGAATGAAATTAAAATAAATACTGAAAGCAAGGGACTGATCCCATGGGGCTCAGAGGGCAGCTAGTTGTAATTGTACTACAAAAATACAAATCAAAGCATTCTTTTTAAAAATTTAGTATGCTATCAATAGTTCTACAATTCTTGTGTGGGTGACAGTGATAACATATGGGGTTCAGGAGCCAGAGTTTTGTACCCTATTGTAAACACACCATGGTTGAAAAAAAAAAGTGTTACGGTTGCCGTTGCAGGAAAACCGTCACTTTTTTTGTCTGAAAGTTGGGTTAGAGTTTAGTCTTCCGCAACCATAGCACTAAACTGTGCAAAGTAGTCCAATTACATATTGAATCACTAAGTACATCAAACCCAAGCCTTTGACTATCACCACTTCAGCAAGTGCCAGTTAGGCTTTGAGTTAACTAGAAGCTCTACCACCTTAGTATATTGAATTCAAGATAGTACCTGATTTTTTAAATTTCACAGAAGAGCAGTGCTATTGGGTATGCTAGTGCTGGAGCAAGCCGAAATGTGCCATATTTGGTGTGTTTTGGGGGTTGTCCCCGAACTTTTCTAACGGCACTGTACATTGCCCACATGATCGTACTATTCCGGCAGGTCTGTGATCGTGCGTCGCCCGCCATGATGGATTCACCCTTTAACCCAATAATCGCTTCACTGTGCCAGAACCAGTGCTTCCGGTCGTCCAGTCGGACGTCCGTCGATGCCAGTCCCACTACTGCCCCTGGTAGAACGCTCGAGCGCCACCTCTTTTTTTATGTTTATTTTTTATTTTTATTTCTCAACTTGTTTGGGTACTGGTGTTTGTCCCATTGCGCAATTTTGCGTGTCCGCAGTCGACGGCCGTTCACCCCGTCCAGGACGGCGCCAAGGTAGTCTTTCTCGTCCTTCGTCGTCCTCACCCCGCCTTGGACGGACGGGACGACTGGAAGCAGTGACCAGAACCCAATACCCCAAACTCTTTCAGACTCCCTCGAGGCATCACCACATATTCTTGGGCCCCGGCATTTCCGTCCTGCCTCCCGGATGATCGCTTCCAGCATCACCTTTCAAGAAAATATGCCCCCCGGGATGCATAGTATGTACTCCAGTACAGCCTCCGGTAGAAAGGATCTTTTCCACATTTTCCGATTTTTCTACCGGAGGCTGTAGGTCCAAGATGATATGTGCATACAGGATACTAACCCGATAGCCTTTCCATCACTCTGTGCATTCGCAGCCCAAGTGTTGGCGCAAGGGCAATGCTTATCAGTCCCTTCGGAACGGCAAATCACTTAAAACATATGGGGGCTTGGGCATTTGGTGCAGGGCCTCCCCGTGAAACGGCAACGTGTTAGAGAACCCTGGGAACGGGGAGGGTGAAAACCTGATAATCCCTTGTGGGCTCTTCAACGAGGTACTGCGGCGGTTGGCCAGGGGGGTTTGGCTTATGCCTTTACTATAATGCCGTAGGATAGAAAGCCTAGTTGGATTGCTTCCTGGTTGTTACCGAATAAAGTCACCGATATTGTCTCTGAATCCCGAGATTAGCGACCTCAGCGAGATGGCGAGCAATGCGCCGAGCATGATGGAAAAGGGCGTGAGGCTCCTCGGGCGGGGAGACCGCGCAACCCAATACGGCGCCAAGCTATCTGCCGTCCTAAAATGGAACACCCCAAGCTGCTTCCCATCGCGCACGATCCCCCCACCCGAGGGGGCTCTGGTTCGAGGTATCATACAAGTGTACGAGTACAGTAGAATTCAGACGCCACGATTCAACCCCCAATTCCAGCCCCCCAGGCTCGATTACCGAAGGCACTCTTTGCGGCTCTGCATCCGACCCCCCCCCCCCCCGGCCTACTCTGGCACATGCGATGGACATCACAGATCTGACCCCACTCCCCGTGCCCAGAAATGCATCTGAAAGTACTACGTCTGGTTCGGCACCGCCACCCATGCATTTAAACACATGAACGATTGAAGCAACAGAGATGGTGCTCAGATCAGCTAGGCGAGACCTTGGGGTATGTGGAGTTCCCTTTGCACAAATAACTACCGTACCGAACTACCCCGCCATGATCTGCGCGCCTGCCCGGGATTGGTTTAGCCTGACATGTTAATGGAGTTGCGAATACCAGTTAGCGAGATCCTAGTGGGCTGGTCTTTTGCTGTGTTGGGAAAGCTCCAGATGACTTGACTGAGAACCCGGAGATTAGAGTCCTGCCTGAGATGTCGGATTTCAAGGGTTTGTATACCGTACTCGAGTATTAAACAGTGACGGCTAAAGTAATGAAATCGCGTAGTATGGCCTTCAGTAAGTAGTAAGGTTCTCCTTTCGTATAACATGGCTGGCTAACAAGAGATCTAAAGCGCAATGGAGCCATCCTCCGATCCTTCCCATTATCACCACACATATCTATTCTCTATCAAGTGTCTCCTTCCGCTTTCGTATTCCCATGCTAATGTTGGAGGTCGTAGCTGCTTGGTATGCTTGCTATTGCCATTGTTATCGTTCTCCGCCATCGTTCTCTGCCGTCCTTACCCTTGGCCGTTGGAAGGTCATCACCTGCAGCCGTCGGAAGAAGGTCATCGTCGTTGGAAGGTACGAGCGTCTGGCGGAAGCTACGAGCAGGAGCAAGAGGCCGTTGTTATCCGGCGTCGTTGTTTGTCGCTGGAAAGCATGGAAGCCATCGGAAGGAAACAAGCTTGAAGTGACGGATGCATGAAGGCTAGGAAGCAGTGAGAATTATTTAAGGGGGTCATTCCTTTTTTGGCTTGGGAGCACGGAAGGGAGAGGGAGACATGTGTGGAGGAGGACGGATATGTGTAGTGACTGGTGGAAGAACCGGGGAGTGATATTTGATTTCTTATATACTCCACATATCTTCCCTCCTCACTTGGGGGTCTTGTTCCGCGATCGCCGTATCCCATGTCCAACTACTACAGTTCTATCGTCGCCCGTATCTACGCCGTATTTCGTTGCTCAATCCGTTGAACGTGCCCCGCAACCTACCCCGCTGATGCGAAAACAGTGGAGCAAGGTGGTCGACTTCCATCAAATGGGGCCATCATTGCAGGCTAGGAGCAGAAGGGCCCAGAGGCCTTCCGTTTCACCTGCGATGGCATCGTCTGCTATCAACAGTGGCGAAGATGGGTGCACTGTTTGAGCTACTGTTGGGGCCATTAGTCTCGGTTATGTTCATCTCCCGATATTAGATTTCATAAACCGGTGAGGTATTTCTCTCAGTGAACCAGGCATACTCGCTTAGACCCACGGTGCGAATGTGTGCTACAGGAACGTGAGGATGTACAATCCGTTCCAGCATCACCAAGCGGGTCATCAATGGCTTCCTGCCCGTCCCCCTAAGCCTGGGATGACCCCCCGGCATACTCCCCAAGCTGCTGACGGGAGACCGAGCATACTAACAGAGCTTGCGGCCAGGGTAGGGCCCATCGCCCAGCTGCTGGGGGAGTTTGGCTACTAGCGGAGGGGGTTACCGGAGGTCAATACCTCATAGCATCACAGAGGGTCACTCGGTCTGGAGGATTCGGGGTTCAATTATCTGGTCTAGGGTAATAAGGAGGGCGGTCCACCCGAGGTCTTAGGAGGCGCCGGCGGTGGCAGACCTTGGGCTATAGCGCGTGATCAGAGGCCCGCATATGTCACCTGAATTCCGAGCAAGTCAAGGCCTTTTCCTGCAATCAGCCCTATCTAATGATTGGGAGGTTGGTCAAAGGTAAATGGTTACGATTTGACTGTTAACCTAGGTGGGGTGGTTAAGCGAAGGTATTGGTGGCCATGTGATATCTCTTATTGCATAATACAGTACCATCCCGTTACTTGTATATTTTACCGATAGGGAGTCAAAGGTTGAAAATGTTATTTAATTAGGAAAGCACAAACTGCCCTCATGGATTATGTATTGACATATTTCCCCACCATCATACTACCCATTATCAAGAACTTAGATGTACATCGGAATCTCTTGGTACGAAAGGCATCTGGATACTTTTAAAAACAGGTAGTGGAGTTGAATGAAGCTGATAGAGTGGACAACAGCCACATTCCAATCCGGATGATGAGGGCAAGAGCAGACACAGCTATTATGAGGAGCACGAGATGTGCGGTGACAATCGCGACAACCAAGCCAACGGTATCCACTGGAAGGAAATCTGCATCAATATGAGTACAGCGGTAGTTGAGGCAGGTGTAGATGTTGGTGAGGGCATCAGTAACCCATGGTATAGTATGTCTGCATGTGGCTGGTGATGTAGAATGGCTGCATAAAGCCCCGATTAGGAAGCTAATAGCGGAGTACAACTATATACTAGTGCTGCAACTGCAAACAAGCCTCACCACTGCAGTCCAGCATCACATGTTCATACTGGCAAAGGTGTTTTTTGGTGGTTTTCAGAAAGTTTTCTACACAAATTCAGTATTGGAACCTGGTTAGCAAACTGTATAAAGGGTGAATTTTTTGGGAGGAGGTTTATCCTATTTTCTCATCCAATTGACTATCTCCTGGCAGGGAGATAGTCAATTGGGCGAGAAGATACAAAAACCTCCAAGACCCGTCAATCCACTTAGGATAAAAATATAAACATTATTCCTCCAAATCCCCAAACTCCTAAACCCCCAAACCCCTGCTTTCTATCAAACACTACTCAATTACAGTTAGTAAATATGTCACTTGAAGTTGAGTTGTATTACATACACTCAATTTCCAGAGCCTCTGTCGCAATGTCCACTTCCTTCGACACTTCTTACAACTGTCTCCACCTCCTTGACAAACTTGTATAGCGTTTATTATGGGGCCTTCAGGATCCCAAAATCTGTGGATCCCTGCCCCCATTCCCCACCCTGCCCTGGTGTTTGGCCCAGGGCAGGGCCTATTTTCTCCTCCATTCCCTCCCTGACCTTATACAGCGCCCCACCCTGGCCATCTCCTGTAGAGAGCCCCTCTACTGCTCTCACCAAATTATATGGCTAGAAGCACAATTGGGGTCATCCGGTAGCCCACATGCAGGGGGTGGGGCGGGGAGGGGGGAGTTTGGTAGCATCCCATAGCCCTAATGTAACGTGTTCGCACCGGGGTGCTAATCACGCTTCCGGGTACAATAGGAGTAGCACACAAGTTGATCTACAACCGGTGGGCGTACTGCGCTAAGGGAGGCTCCGAGAGGAAGATATAAAGAATAGGGACTTAAAGAGGTAACCGTTCAACCAAGTATATTAGAAATACTCTGTCCGTCGAAGTCTGTGGTTCCTCTAAGGAACTCAGCGGTCTTTAAATACAAGCTTCGCCCATGTCCTGCATGGACGGATTTCCAAATCCTCCGTGAGCAACCCATCAAACAAACTGAGTATCAAAGGATACTCGAAACCACAAGTAAAACAAACTGAGTATCAAAGGATACTCGAAACCACAAGTAAAACAAAACGTAAAACAAATTCTTGAACCGAACGGACTGAACTCCAGTTCCGGTTACATTCCCCAAAACAAAATATCTGTTTACTCAAACAAATCAATAATCTCGAAAATCAAAATCCTCATAAAAATCCTCGCCATATTCCTCATCAGCGAGCGCCCAATCCCCATCACCAATACAAAACACACATGTCCGCAATTGCAAAAAACAATTGGAATAAAGGAAATGAAAATCACAGTAATCGCGGATACCTGCCGCTCTTTCCCATACTTCCAGCAGTAGGTCTTTGCAATTCGGGCAGTAATCAACCAAAAGGGTATCAAAGTAGTTTTCAAGTAGGATAGCACCGCGGTCCACCAACAGTCCCACAAGCTGATGGCATAGCCTTACATTCAGTTCCTCATAGTTTTCCATCTTTAAGGTATTCAGATAGAGAGCGTGTCATTAGATAAAGGTGTCTATAACATCTGCCATCGCTTGGTCTTCGTCACTGCTGCTTTCAAACTCATTTGCGTCATAGGGAGCCCAGAAATCCGGTCTGGTAGGAGGGTCTTCGCGTATTCGTTGTGTGGTGGGTAAGGTAGGTGACCAAGCTATTGTTATATGGTTGATGGTGGGTGGTAGTCGTTCACCGGGCATGTTGGCTTCCCACCACTCATGCACAAGGGTCATCCCATTCTCGATTCCTTCCACTGGCTCCCAGCTATTCTCCGAGTCTGGATAACCTTTCCATTTGATCAGGAACTGATCGGTTCCATAGTGCTTTCTATGGTCAAGTATCTCTTCCACTTCCCATTCCTCCTGGTTGTGGATAAGTAGGGGGGCTGGCTGGGAGTGGCTGCATCCCGGGAATCTGCTATCGTCATTTGGGTGCCATCTCTTAACTGTAGTTGAATGAACCACTGCTTTGCCACGCCGGTACATTCATCCTTCTAGCTTGATGGGGTAGTTCTCGGTATTGCTGTCGAATTCCAGCACTTTGAAAGGACCTCGCCAGCGGGGTTGGAGTTTCTTGCTTCTGCCAGTTTCCAGACTAAACAGGTTTCCATGTACCATGACCATGGCACCCGGGGGTATGGCATGAGGTAATCTCTGTTTCTTTTGTGCCTTTGTTGTGTTTCGGAATCGGGCGGTTCTTAGTGCCTGATTGGCATCATTCCGGAGGGCTTCGTGTTGATTGAGGTGGTTGTCAGACGCTGGTACTGCAGAGTCCTTGAATAAGGTGCGGGGTAAGAGGGGGTAGTTTCGTCCAGATATGGCTTTGTAAGGGGCCGTGTCAATAGTACTAGAGTACATTACATTGATGTATGCTGCTGCTTCCGGAAGGGCTGGTTCCCAGTTGTTTTGTCGCTTGTTGATTATGTTCCGGAGGCCTGTCTTGACTTCTCTAATCTTTCGCTCCACTTGGCCATTCGTTTGGTGGTGGCCTGGTGTGGCTAAGATGTGCTCTATCCCCATCGAGGTTAAGGTTTGCCTCCAGAACTTCGATGTGAACTTAGGGTCTGCATCGGTCACGATTGAGAGGGGGTGGCCATGAGGAGTAAAGACATTTCCCCGTAGTATATCCCAAGTATCTTGAGCTGTTGACGATGCAAGGGTGGGTATGAGCCAGGTAAATCCAGAGAAACGGTCTAGCGCAACTAGGATAGTATCATATCCACCGGATTTGTTGAAGGGTCCTGCGAAATCTATAGTATATGACTCAAATACGTCAGTAGGTAGCTTCAGCGTTCGGGCATATCCTTCCGGTAGGGTAGTAGGTTCCTTATTCCTTTGGCATTCTTCACAGGTCTTCGCATACTGTTTGAAATCATTACCCATTTCCGGCCAGTACAGGTATTCTGAAGCATAATAGAGGTTCCGGTCAGCGCTAGCATGGCCATTGTCATGGATTTCGCTGATCAGGTATTCCCGAAGTGTCTTTCCATTCACTAGGTGGCCATCGGGGATGTAGAGGGCTTTGTTACCATATCGGGTAGGGGCATATATCATTCCATCCGAGATTTCATAGAGTTTAAGGTCTCCGGTCCTTCCACTGTCAAGAACTTTGTGGTAGAGGGGGTCACAACAGTAGGCCTTGATCATCTGGGCTCTAAAGGTTCCCTTCAGGTCATCCATAGCTGACCGCACATCCCTTTCTTCCTCTATGAGTTCTCCACAGCTAGGTCCCTCACCTTCCTCCTGTCCTAAGTTCTCTTCATCGAAGGATTGGTATAGATCGCGGCGGAAATCATCATGGGTAGGGGGCATGACAGAGATGAGGGTTTCGGTATTGTAACAGCCAAGTGCCTCACTGTAGAGGGGTCTGGCCACCGGGGGTGGGCTTGATGGGTATTCGGTCGGAGGAGGGTAGAGGGTTGTAGCTGCTTCTAAATGCTGGATATCAACAGGTGCTTGCGCCTCTGGTTCAAGTAAGGTAGCCGGGGGTGGCGATAGCTCATCTGTAACGT